ATCGTGTCCAGCATCCCGAGAGGGACAGGACTGTCAGAGACTAGTGACTCAGCTGCTTCCACTCTGCAGGTGAGACACATGATGTGACTTATTACGTGTACTCTTAAGACATGCAACATTAATTTAACATAGATTAAGACATTTCTACTGATTAGACATACTGAGTTTATAAATGTCTGCAAAATATTTTTGAAATTTGTTGTTGGAGCAGTACATGTGTGTTTTAAAAGTTGTACGGAATTTGTAAAATTTTATGACTTCAAAATTTAAGTCCTACAAGAAAAATAGATTATTTTGAACTGTATATATCTTAATGAGCAGTATTAGATAAAATCCCATGTACTTGCGGGATGTACGAAAAAAAAAAAAAGATGTTTTCCTCAACTGGAATACTCTACTTAAGATTGCATCACTTGATGGTTGTTTGCTTTGCTAAATTAAAACCCTTTTACACATAACTCAGACATCGTTGAAATTACGGAACCTTTCACTGCGAGGCGCTGTTTTCCATGCTTGGTTACGTAAATTTGTGACATCACGATCGCCGTCACTGTTTGCAATGAAGTGGTGAGAAGAGAACAGATCAGCAACCCCACAGCTCTGATTACATTTGGGTTTAAAGGTTTATCTGTTTAAAAACTAAACGGGTGGTTCTTCGCTAGGGACAGTCAGATTTCCAGTGTTTGTCAAAGCTCCTTTTCAAGAAATTCATTACTCGAAAGAAAACAAAGATAAGTGGCAACCATGGAAGGTTTTGTCTGCTGTCTACATTGGAGAAGGTATGTTCTGACAATTCTTGTTTGCTTTGCTGCAATTAAATCCGCGGTTTCAGTAACACACTACTCTTTTCCGGAAGAACTGGAAGAAGGCTCCGTAGTCGCAAATCTCGCTGGAGATTTAGGACTAGATGTAAAGACATTGATCGATCGAAAAATGCGCCTGGACACCATAGGAAGTCGGAAATATTTGGACGTGAACAAAGAAACAGGGGAGCTGTTCATTGTCGAGCGAATTGATAGAGAATCTCTCTGCCACGCCAAGATGTCGTGCTATCTGAAAATGGAGGCCATAATTGAAAACCCCAAACGGATATTTTATATCGAGTTGGAGATAATGGACATTAATGATAACGCGCCTCATTTCAGAAGAGACACAATAGATCTAGATATTTCAGAGGCAACACAGGCTGGTGAGCGATTTTCGGTGAGCAACGCAGTTGATCCAGATGTGGGTTCTAATGCTCTCAAAACATATCATCTGAGCGAAAGTGATTTTTTTACGATAGAAATTCAGACTGGGAGAGATGGATCAAAATTTCCCGACTTGATTTTGAAAAAAAGAATTGATCGAGAAGAGCAAGCGGTTCATAATTTAATACTCACAGCAGTGGACGGTGGCATACCGTCTCGTTCTGGAACAGCGAGCATTATTGTCCATGTTTTAGATACAAATGACAACGCCCCTAAATTCAAACCAGAAAACTATGAAGTTAGCGTATTGGAAAATTCTCCCATTGGAAGTAGGGTAATTAATCTTAATGCAACGGATTTAGACGACGGTGTAAATTCAGAATTAATATATTCATATAGTTTGTACACATCAGAGAAAACGCAGGAAACATTTAACTTAAACCCAAGAACAGGTGAAATAACAGTGAAAGGTGTGTTGAATTATGAGGATTTTAGGATCTACGACATGGAAGTTATTGCAACTGATAAAGGAGCTAATGCACTATCAGGACAATGTAAAATTAAAATTCTTGTGGAGGACATGAATGACAACCATCCACATATTTCAATTAAATCCTTCCAGAGTCCAGTCAGTGAGAACATAGAGTTAGACACAGTGATAGCTGTAGTTAGTGTCAGTGATAAAGACTCAGGTGATAATGG